CCATAATTGATGAATATTTCTTAACAAATGAAACATAAAAAATATATAGAAAAGGGGGGTCCATTCCTCTAAGAGCCTGTACTTTGGTGCAAACAATCCTCTGTGCTTCTGTACATGGTCTGTTGTAACGAAACATTGATACAATCTCATTTGCATATCTCTATACCAATGTAATTTGGTTTGTTGAGAAATAAAGATATATATATATCTATATTTATAAAAACAGGATTTGCAACACAAAATGGTTGCATACTTAATTTTCAATACCAGATATAGATCCTTATTTTGTGTTTCTTTGCTGAATGACAGCATTGCGCAGTATAATAGCAGGTTAACATGTGAAGTAGGATCTTCTCACCCTTCCAAAACACCTTACATAATCCCCGAGTTCGTGTCGATTTTTAGTTTTCTAATTAGAGTAGTGATGAGTGTTGATTGTCTTTTCGTTGTTTATCGTTTTTTTTATATGGTATTGTCGGTTTCTCTTCGACTTATTAATTTTCATTGTTTGAATTTTTTAGATATTATTTTGGAACTTTGAATATATATACCATGTATATTGTACGTGTCACACTGAACGAATTCGAGGAAACAATATTTCGAACAATTTGAAAAGAAATGCATTTCAATAACCAAAATAGCAATGCGAGGGGGCGTCACTGAATAAAAATTCCGTGGGAATGACATAACTTTAAAAGACTTGGTCATGATTGATGAAACATATCGTTTTTAGTATTTGCTGTTTGTAAACGTCTTAATTCTTTTGCCGTTTGTGTGTTATTCATCTTTGTTGTTTTTTTCTTCATTGTCTATGATTTTTCTCTACTGCGTATTGTTCCCAGGAATCCCGATTGCTGTTTGTTTGGAGTCAATACTTATAACTTTTAAAGATTGGTTTAATTTTTATGAACATACACAAATATTTGCTGTTTTAAATTGTCTGAATTTTCTGATTTGTGTGTATTCTTGTATCGTTCAAGTTGTCTTTAATTTATCAAGATGATATAATGTTCTGTGGAATTCTGATCCCCGATGGTTCGGGTCCTTAAACTTATTTTTTTTTATGTCAGCGAACTTGCGAGTACTAAGTCTTATACAATTCAGTACTACTTGCAATGTAGCTCTATCTGGCTTGTTAAGCTCAAATGATATCCATTTGCATTTTAAAAAGAAATTTCAGTTTCTGACTTGTTATTTCAAAGTGAAATGTAAAACTTTGCAAGTATGATAAAGAAGTATAATTTTGCAAATATTTTACTTGCACTGTGGACTAAAAGACCCTACCCCTTTCATTTGAAAGTTTGTACACAGACATATATTGAACTATGTTTCTTCATCATGTCTTTTAAGTTTCAGACTGCCTTTTCAGTTATTAATGCAGATACTGATAATTCCTTTGATAAATATCTAAGGGAGATACATTTTATAGACAATCCGGAGTCGTTTGCGAGCTCGATTTATAGAACCTGTTATGCAGTAGTATTATATCTTTAAAATAAAATGCTCCGCAGGGCGCAGCTTGATACGACCGCAGAGGTCGAACCCTGAACAGTTGGGGCAAGTATGGACACAACATTCAAGCTTGATACAGCTTTGCATTTGGATTGTGATTAAATATTTGACACATCATAAATTTCTGACACAGAATGAATGTGGTCTAAGAACTTAAAAATTTTAAATTGGACATTCACCTATTATGGTCCAATATCCAAAATCTAAATACATGGTTAGATTCAGCATATCAAAGAACCCCAAGAATTCAATTTTTGATGAAATCAAACAAAGTTTAATTTTGGACCCTTTTGACCTCAATGTGGACAAAGTTGATAACGGGGCCCAAAAATCAAAAATCTAAATACATGGTTAGATTCAGCATATCAAAGAACCCCATATATTTAATTTTTGTTGAAATCAAACAAAGTTTAATTTTGGACCCAGATTTGGACCAACTTGAAAACTGGGCCCATAATCAAAAATCTAAATACATGTTTAGATTCAGCATATCAAAGAACCCTAAGAATTCAATTTTTGTTAAAATCAAACTAAGTTTAATTTTGGACCCTTTGGACCTTAATGTAGACCAATTTGAAAACGGAACCAAAAAATTAAGAATCTAAATACACGGTTAGATTCGGCATATCAAAGAACCCCAATAATTCAATTTTTGATGAAATCAAACAAAGTTTAATTTTGGACCCTTTTGACCTCAATGTGGACCAATTTAAAAACGGGGCCCAAAATCCAAAAACTAAATACACGGTTAGATTCAGCATATTAAAAAACCCCAAGAATTCAAGAATAAAACCCCATTGAAATTGGTCAAGAAATAAGCAATTTATACGAAGTATCTTCTTTTGCACAATACTGTGCAATTAAATATTTCTTGCTATTGCGCAATACTGTACAATTGACAATTTCTTGCTATTGCGCAATATTGTGCTATTGGATATTTCTTGCTATTGCGCAATACTGTGCTATTGGATATTTCTTGCTATTGCGCAATACTGTGCAATTGAAGATTTCTTGCTATTGTGCAATACTGTGCAATTGAAAATTTCTTGCTATTGCACAATACTTATTATATAATAATTTACACATCCTGTTTGGTGTGTACATGTATCTCCTACCATATCATTATTATTTGCTTTTAAATATAAATCAGAAATAACCAACTTAAAATGGAAAATTTTAAAAGGAAAAAACAAGGAAAAAAAAAAAAAAAGGAAACCCCCCCCCCCCAAAAATTTTTTGAACCCCCTTATGATTCATCACCCCCAAACTCAATCCCAGCCTTCCCTTTGTGGTATGGTACCAGGGGCGGATCCAGGATTTTGGAAAGGGGGGGCGTAGTATGTAATAGTTGCCGAGCGGAGCGAGGCGAAAATTTTTTGGACCTTTTTTTTTGGCTACAAAACATAAAATAAGTGTAAAATGCACATTTTTAGTGACGGTTCCTAACGTGGGGTATGTATATTTTATAGTTAAAGTGCCGGTAAGCTTGGTGCCGCATTCTCCCCATTAGTTGTCTATTATAAAATGATTGAATGGATCTAAAGCTATGTACTAATATATTTGATGTGAGATTTGTCAGTAAAAAATGGACATGGAAAATTCTTGTTTGTTGTATGGTTAGTTAGCATAACCTCACAGATTACTTGTTGTAAACATGATATACGGCTATTCAATGAAGTTTATAATACGACCGACACGAACAAAGACAAAGAAGCAATTTTTATCCAAATGTTTGGTGAAATGTTTCACTCAACAAGGGAAGTGAGGGGTTCCAAATCAACCAACGGCTACGAATGAGTCTGAAAATCAAATGACAACGAAGTTGTGAATGACGGTCGACAAATGGAGACATAAAGGCCACACCCAGCAGGCAGGTTGCAGTTGGGCCTTGAAAAAAGTATTCAGTATATCAGTTCGGCGAAACAGACATTCCGGTCAGATATGGGATTTACATGCACCCCCCCCCCCCCCACCCTCCAAAAAAAAAAAGAATTTTTGTTTAAGGCAAAAATCAGGGTAAGAATTTTTTCTCTAAAATATCTCAGACTGCCCTATCAAATCAAATGGTCCGTACCTTTATTCAGCAATGTTATTAATTGGCTGGGGCGTGTGGGGTTAAACATATTTTCGTAGGTAAATAATATTGCCGTGGAACTTTTTTTTTCATGAGAGTGTAATAGAGTATTACTTTCTGTTGAGTGGAAATATGAAATAGAAGTCAATACGTTCTTGCTCAATCCTTTGTCGCTTTGAAGGCGTCATGCTTGTCATCCTCCGCCTAAGCAATGTGTTACTGTAATTTGAATTTCAAAATGACTGAGTGACGTTTCGAAAGTACAGATCAACTCCACCGTAGCGAAACATATGACTGACATAATCAATAATATATTACAGTAAATACGAGCGAAAAATATCTTTATAAGTAAAGAATTGTCGCATAAAAATTAAATACACGACCGGGAAATGGCAAAGTTCACCCTCTACGCCCCCCTCTGGATCCGCCACTGGGTACCGTACCTTGCAGTACAATTTCAGAGAGATCCATACACTTGAACACAAGTTGTTGTCTGGAAACTAGAAAAATGTGTTTTTTGGCCCCTTTTTGGCCCCAAATTCCTAAAATATTGAGGCAATTACCCCCATCATCAATCCCAGCCTTCCCATTGTGGTATGGTACCTTGCAGTACAATTTCAGAGAGATCCATACACTTACACACAAGTTATTGTCCTGAAACTAGAAAAATGCTTGTTTTTTGCATCTTTTTGGCCCCTAATTCCTAAAATATTGAGGCAATTACCCCCATCATCAATTCCAGCTTTCCCTTTGTGGTATGGTACCTTGCAGTACAATTTCAGAGAGATCCATACACTTGAACACAAGTTATTGTCTGGAAACTAGACAAATGCTTATTTTTGGCCCCTTTTTGGCCCCCAATTCCTAAACGTTTCGGCAATTACCCCCAAACTCAATTCCAGCTTTCCCTTTGTGATATGGAACCTTGTAGTACAATTTCAGAAAGATCCATACACTTACACACAAGTTATTGTCATGAAACTAGAAAAATGCTTGTTTTTTGCCCCTTTTTGGCCCCTAATTCCTAAAATTTTGAGGCAATTACCCCCAAAATCAATCCCAGCATTCCTTTTGTGATATGGAACCTTGTGGTACAATGTCAGAGATATCCATACACTAACACACAAGTTATGTCTGGAAGTTACAAAAATGCTTATTTTTGGCCCCTTTTCGGCCCCTAATTCCTTTACTGTTGGTACCATAACCCCCAAAATCAATCCCAACCTTCCTTTTGTGGTATTGAACCTTGTGGTAAAATTTCATAGAGATCCATGCACTTAAACTAAAGTTAGAGTGCGAAAACCAATGTGTCTTCGGACGACGACGACGACGACGACGACGACGACGCCAACGTCATACCAATATACGACCACAAAAATTTTTTTGCGGTCGTATAAAAACAGCAACAGGAAAGAACTGGTAAACGTTTTATTATTACAAAAATAAAGTTAACATATGGATTTCATATGAACCAAACTTTGCTTCTTTTATGAATAAAATAACATTGCCAATTTTATATAATTTGAAAAGAGAAACATAACAACGCAGAAACTTGACAAGTCCAACAGAATCATTTTAGCGATAATAATTTTGTTTCCTAACTGTAAATCTAAATTTGGATAATAAATATCACGGTCATAGAGTTTGGAAGCAGTTCTTTCTTTGTAGGACATTTTTTTTTATGGAATTTGATAATTGAAATGAATTGTTTGTCAATATTTCTGCAAAAAATCACAAATGTATCATTTACCATACGTTGGCACCAGTTGGACCTATATAGGATAATTAATAATACAAAGACGCAACAATAATAAATAGTAACAAAAATGTTTACATTTGATATATAAATATATATATATATGTACAATTATAACACGATAAAATATATATCGAAACATTCAATGACAAATGGAATATTTTTATCATTTGTAACGTTGGAAAAATATTGAAGTATTAATTTTATTAATGATCGATAATAAAACTTATCTCGTGTAATATTCACTATGATTTGATCGACCTTAAGTCTGGGCTTTCTGTTTTTATGCCCCACCTACAATAGTAGAAGGGGCAGTATGTTTTCTGGTCTATGCGTCCGTCGTCCGTCCGTCCGTCGGTCTGTTCGCTTCATGTTAAAGTTTTTGGTCAAGGTAGTTTTTGATGAAGTTGAAGTCCAATCAACTTGAAACTTAATATACTGTTTCCTATGATATGATCTTTCAAATTAGATTTGGACCCCAATTTCACGGTCCAATGAACATAGAACATGACAGTGCGAGTGGGGCATCCGTGTACTATGGACACATTCTTGTTTTTAGATACTACAAAAAGGAGTAGGACTTGGTGGTCTACATTTGGTCTTCAAAATTAGACATTTTAACATCATGTCTATTCATCAATATTTACGAATTGAAATATTTATATTTTGACAAATTAGACATATTATTTTTTTAAATATTCTTAAAGATCAAAGCCTCAAAAGTATGATAATTTACAAATTTTGTAGCCACATTTCCTGTTTTAATTCATTTTCAAATTATATTTTCTTCTAAAAAAACATTGACTGCATCCTTCAATAACAAATATAATAAAATGATGCATATGGGCGAGATACACATCATAACAAAAAAATTATGGTAGAATTAAACATTATCATATTTGGAACAACAAATTAGTCAAATTAAAATTTAATAAGAGTTAAGAATTATGATTTCTTTATGACACCATTACTGATGTAATGCATCTGAACTTGTTAACTTTGTATTTTCTAGATATTTTTAAATATGTTTTCATCAAATGTGTATGAAATTTACTCAACTTAAATTGCAAGTAATTTTAGTGCAAATATCGACACTTCTTGAGCACTATACTCCTTTATATAAAATTATATTTTTTTCTCTTACTTGTTTGTGAATATATGGTTTTATTGAGCTTCTTAGCACATTAGTCCAAGTCTCACAATCTTTATTCAGAACTCTCAGATACGGATCCAGGGGGGGGTTCCGGGGGTTGGAACCCCCCCCCCCCCTTTTTTTTGACGATCAATGCATTTGAATGGGGACATATAGTTGGAACCCCCCCCCTTTATCCTGGGTTAGGAACCCCCTTTTATAAATGGCTGGATCCTCCCCTGACTCTTATGAGAAATTATTAATGAACAGTAATTTTACACAAAAATGACAGTACCAATGACATTTTATGTCAAGAATGGAGTATTGTTTTAAGAGCTAGTTTAAAATATTTCATTAAACGGAGATAAATCATGCAATGCAATTGCTGGATTAATCTATCAGATGCATTGCAATGATTAACTTACTATATACATACAAAAGTCAAACATAAAGGATTAAATTATAATACAAAAGAAAGGGAAAAAAACTGCAGTGACACAACAAATTGTTAAACGAATGATAGATTTAAACTAAAAGTTCTTCGTTTATTCTTACTGTCATTCCATATCCCTGAACATTTCATCGAACCAACAAAGGTGCCATTGATGTCAATATTAACAACAACAAAAAATGATAAGTACATGCGAGTACATCAAATATTGACAATAATTGTATATACAGCAATTAACACGAAAAGAGGAAAAATAACTGAAAAATACAATATCATTTTTCATCAACAATAGTTATAATGAGTATCAATTAATAACTCATGACCAAATTGGTTTATGTCTCTTTGTATAATATAATCACAGAGAAGACAAATGTCCCACTTTTAAAACACATTCAATCATTCCATTATATTGGATTTCAAATTGTTCATCTTGCACTATATCAAAATAAATTTGTACAATCAATTTTATGAACAGTCAATTTACAGAAAAGGACTGCACAATTACATGTCAACATTGAAGTTCTAACTCTTGTTACAAGAGTTATTTCTAAATATTGCAATTAACTGTGCGAAATCATGCAATGCTCTTGCTGGATTCATTATCTGCATTGCTACATTAACTTATTATATACATACAAAAGTCAACTACAAACATTTATAATAAAGAAAGAAAAGGGAAAAAAACTGCACTGACAACTAAGGTTTCGTCAAAGGATATGGATTAAAAAAATCTTCGTTTCTGTTTATCATCATAGTACATAGTTCTGGAATATTTTATCAAACCAATAAAGGGTCCATTGAGGTCATGATTACAAATCATTCGTCACAACTCGGCCGATTCCGTACCTTCATCTAACGATAGAAGGAGAGTAGCGGATTCACCCGAGGATTGCCGATTGGATTACAAATGACAGCATGACAGTATATCAAATTTGGTAAAAAATTATATCCTATTTTAAAAAGTTTAAATTAACGATTCATTTTTTCCTGGAAAATATAAAGACTATCATGGTAGTCTGGAAGCGTTTTCAAAAGTTTGATGCTTTCCAATAAAACCAAACATCATTTCGATTGCAAGGAAAACTCTCTGCAATGATAATTTTTTATTATTACTTGACCCAAAAAATGTGTTCATCGTGAAGCAGGCCATATACGTGGTCTTAAATAATGATATTTCCAGATAACATCCTAGTACACAAATATCTAGATGCAATCCATATATGACAACTCGATTACCATAATGATAAGATATCCATTACATATTCTTTTGTAAATAAGTGAAGATGTTATAAATATGATAATAGAAAAATATATATTAACATTATTATAATTAACAATAGTAATACAAAAGTTATCTTATATAACTTTCATCAAAATATATGATTCACTTTAAATAAGCATGGCATTTAAGTTTCAGATATTGATGAAGAAACAAACAGCCTAATAAAGAGTGTTTAATAAAGACAGATTTCGGATCTAAAGCTAAGAGATTAATGTTAACAATATATCACAGGAGCTTTTTAGCATATTAAGCTAAGGCTCTTTACAAATGTATTTGCTCTTATCACAAAATAGACTTAATGGTAAATTTATTTAATATTTAAAATTAGGGAACGATCATTTAACTTCAAAAAGGGGGGGGGGTATTAGATATTCAAAAAATATTCTGAATCCAGTTTTTGCCCATACCTTATAGTGTTAAATATTGAAAAAAATAATTTGATTGATAGCGTTGAAAAACTACATAAAATTGATAGCGCTGTGCGTGAAAAAAATTTTCTGACTTGGACAAAAAACCTTAACCCACCCCTTTGAAGTTAAATGGTTGCTACCTTATTAGATTTCGGTAGTCTTTTATTTTGTGAAAAAATACTAATTTGAATTATATTTACATTCAAAATCTGCAATTTATACAATCATTTAAATAGTCTTCCGCCATCATAAATATCATTATTATGTATGGCAGAATTAATATGTTATTTAACAGGAGATATGCCATCATATGGTAAGAAAAGAAAGAAGTCTGATGCAGATGCGTATGTATACACCAGATTCATTTATTTAAGCCTCTGGTGCCATGGTCACATCTGTTCCCTTCTTAAAATTCCTACAACCGTCACTGTATGCAAAAAAAAAAGTTTTTTTAAGTTCAATAGAATGGTACCGTGTTGTTTGTTTTAAGTCAAAACTTTAATTTGGAGCACGGTGTGGGAGCTGGGACTATTATACTAAGTATAAGTTAGTATAATAGTCCCAGGTGGGGGAGGAGGTCCTAAAGTCAAGAAATGTTTTTATCATTGTCAACTTTTTATTCGAAAGCTACTTCTCAATATTTTCTCAAATGGTGATATTACATGACGCCTTTGTCAAATATTTATACAAACAATGGTTTACTTTTATAAATTTTGACTAGGATGGAGAGTTGTCTCATTGGCACTCATACCACATCTTCTTATATCTAAATAATTTTAAAAACATCTGATTTATGACACAAAGAATTCTGCACTGTCGTTTATGTAAATATATATTTACAACAAACGGTCTTCGCAGTGGCGGATCCAAGGTGGGTGGTTCCGGGAGTCGGAACCCCCTATTTTTTTGACGATCAATGCATTTGAATGGGGACATATAGTTGGAACACCCCTCCCCTTATCCTGGTTTAGGAACCCCTGCTTCGTGTATTCTTTATGTCATTCAATATTTATTTGTTGAATCAATAAATGGTCCCAATCATTGAGACATGATTACAAAAAATGGCAATACATAACAACAAATCATTTAAATTTTATCAACAATAGTTGTGTTCAATAGTTTAGGAAATTGTGGCAAACATTTGATTATTTCCCTTTGCACAATATTAACACAAGAGAGACGAAAATTCCACTTTTCTTTCTGATGTCAAGATGCAGTCTTCCATTCCGTTATTTTTTATTTCAACTCCTCATTTTATACGTTATGATAAAAATGTTTGTTTACACAAATGTTAGAATGCTTCCACGATCTTCCAATATTATACAACTCTGGAATATTTTCCAAGTAGTCTTTTCTAGTACTTGTGCACATGCAAACCATAGTATTGTTAGTGCAACGAATGTTTTTTTTTTTTTTACATAGCATATCTAAACAATTTTTATTGTACCAGGTGTTAAAAATTTAACACTAATGTTTTTTACAGCGGACATTCATAAAACTCTAATTGTGCTATGGAAATGTTTTCCAATCTTTTATGCTTTCTAATGAACCAAACATCTCTTCGCTATCGGGAAAACTTCCTGCAACAATAAAACTACTGTTAGTCATAAAATCCAAGAAAATGCTACATGGCCCTATTATATCTTATGTATGATTATGGGTAGTAAATATAAGAATAAGAAGATGTGGTATGATTGCCAATGAGACAACTCTCCACAAGAGCCCAAATGATACATAAATAAACAACTATAGGTAACCGTACGGCCTTCAACAACGAGTAAGTCAGTTGAATCCCTTTTAATGAAAAAAAAAACAAGATCATTTTAGGTCTGTGTTAATTCTCAAAACCAAATAATTCATGTTGCAGAATTAATCTCGAATCTACGCAATAAAAATTGTAAATACATTTTACAGTCAATCAATTGCAAAGATCTGCCATCAACACTAAATTCTCCAAATGAAAACCAAAACAAACATTCAGATATGACAAAAGACAAACACTGACGAGATTCCTATCTTGGGATAGAAACCTCGTCAGTTAGGAGCACCTGAGATCACCCCCAGTGTTTTGTTGGGTTCGTGTTGCTCAGCCTTTAGTTTTCTATGTTGTGTTTTTTGAACTATTGTTTGTCTGTTTGTCTGTTTCTTTTTTAGCCATGTTGTCAGTTTATTTTCGACTTATGAGTTTGAATGTCCCTCTGGTATCTTTCGACTCTCTATTTGGGACAGGAGCATGAACCGAAGGTGAGGTTTCCAAAAGCTAAATACATTACTCGGGAACAATTAAAAAATGCAGGACTTTGTAGGTGTCTGTCAATTGTTGAATACTATAGGCAACCTTTAAATAATAACGGTTATCGTACGTAGTTAGGTTGCTGTCTGAATATTATAATACATTTTCTTTCAAATTGTTTTATTCTTGTGAACTGTTGATCGTTTGAATAAAAACGACTACTACATGTAAATTAATCGTATTCTGCTTCCATTATATATACAATTTCATTCTGATGCGTTGGCTTCAAGAAGGAAACAGCAAATCTTTATTTAAAAGTTACATACGTTTATATAAGGAATTTTGCAGAGAGTAAGATAAAATATATACACTTGGACTTTCATTCAGTCTTTTCAGGCCAAAACGATAACGACATCGTCTATACTTACCATATTCATAAAAGAAACCCTGTATTGTTTCTTCTATAAGGCATCTAGGATATCCAGCATCCAGAGCGTCTACAACTATACATGTTTCCATCTTTGTTGGCCTATTAAGACCTAAATAAAGAATATATTAAACCTAACCATTATATCATTGATATATGTATTTAAATTGGCTTTTTGATATCATAGGTGTGCATGCTTAAAAAACGTCATTAATAATCACCTTACTGAAAGCGCTCATAGTAGATTCTAATGGCTCTCAATATCGTTTATGCTATTTGTTATAGATAGAAAGATATTTTTATTTTAAAATACAACTTGGTACATGTACATGAAATACAAGATATTATAATTTGAAACATATATATGTATATAGTCAATAAACATTTTGTTATTAATACCGACCAGCCTTTAGAGGCTTATGAATCGATGCACTGTCGTTTAGGTACGAAAAGTATATAAATAAATTTCAGAATCTTATTAATCCTTATTATATCTGAAGCTTACATCTTCGGAGGTAGTTTTATTATATCAGTTGTGTTAAATAATGTGAAAATAAAGGTGAAAGTATCTAAATAGTTATTGGTTTGATAATGTATACAAGGGATGTACATGGAAAAGCAGGATGATAAGAGTTGCCTCTCTTTCTTTGAATCATTTTATCATGGTAAATTAGGATTATTAAAAGTAAACAGTAGCTCAATATATCTTCCTCATTATAATTTTGTATGTTTATCTATATTACATCCACACTGCCTTTTAATATGAACATTGATAACACCATCAGTACTTAAAATACAGTCCATACAACAATTCGTTTTCATGATATTATTTTGAGATTAATTTTTGACAATATTTTATGAAAGCTTTGCCATTAATTAAAAATAATTTTAACAATTCCTCATTATTGCAGTGTCAACATGATATTTTATATTTAAAATCCGAATTAAATTGAATAAACTGCTTCGCTGAGCGCAGCTGGATACGCCCGCAGAGGTCCAACCCTGAACAGTTGGGGCAAAAATGGACACAATATTCAGCTTGATACAGGTCTGAATTTGGATTGTAATTTAATATTTGACATATAGGTTTCTGAATAAATGTAGTCAAAGAACTTGAAATTGGTTATATGAATTGAATTTATATTCAAATAAAGATTTCTTGCTGTTGTGCAATACACTGTGCCGTTGCGCAATACTTAGTAAATCTGTTGTCAGACTATAAACAAATAAAGTTCAATTAATTCTCAATGTCATATTAGAAATTTATGAAAATGAAAAGGGAGCTTACATCAATAGATATAAACAATTCACCAAAGTTTCATGAGAATTGCTGACAGCATTTTTGAGTTATTGTCCGAAAACTGGAAAACCCTCCCTTTTTTAATGAATAAAATCCCATAACTCAGAAATGATAAATGAAAAATTTACATTCTAAATGGAGCTTACATCAATAGATATATAAACAATTCACCAAAGTTTCATAAGAACTGCTGAAAGCATTTTTGATTTTTTGTCCGAAAACTGGAAAATACTCCTTTTTTTATGAATAAAACCCTGTAACTCTGAAAGTTCATATCTAAAATATATAAAAATTGAAAGGGAGCTCATGTCAATAGATATAAACAATTCACCACAATTTCTTGCAAGTTGGTGAAAGTATTCTCGAGTTATTGTCCGAAAACTGGAAAATCCCCCTTTTTTTAATGAATAAAACCCCATAATTGGAAACGTAAAATCTAAAATTTATAAAAATCGACAGGGAGCTCATGTCAATAGATATAAACAATTCACCACAATTCCTTGCAAGTTGGTGAAAGCATTCTTGAGTTATTGTCCGAAAACTGGAAAATCCCCCTTTTTTTAATGAATAAAACCCCATAACTCGGAAACGTAAAATCTAAAATTTATAAAAATCGACAGGGAGCTCATGTCAATAGATATAAACAATTCATCACAATTTCTTGCAAGTTGGTTAAAGCATTCTTGAGTTATTGTCCGAAAACTGGAAAATCCCCCTTTTTTTAATGAATAAAACCCCATAACTCGGAAACGTAAAATCTAAAATTTATAAAAATCGAGAGGGAGCTCATGTCAATAGATATAAACAATTCACCACAATTTCTTGCAAGTTGGTGAAAGCATTCTTGAGTTATTGTCCGAAAACTGGAAAATCCCCCTTTTTTTAATGAATAAAACCCCATAACTCGGAAACGTAAAATCTAAAATTTATAAAAAACGAAATGGAGCTCACGTCAATAGATATAAACAATTCACCAAAGTTCTATGCAAATTGGTTAAATTGTTTTTGAGTTAATGTCCGACATGTTGACGACGGACGGACAGACGGACAGACGGACGGACGGACAGACGGACAGACGGACAACGGTATACCATAATACGTCCCGTAAACGGGCGTATAAAGATTAAAGTTTTCTCAGTAGTAAAGTAACGTATTTGCTGCAGAATGTTTATTATGCTTTAAAGTTCCAGATAGTTTATATATGGTTATATGTATTGAGTAGAACTGAGCTATAAGCTATGCGAACAAATGAATTTTAGATACTTGTATACAATCATTATAGCATGCTGACAACGTACAGGCAACAATACAACATTTCACCTTTTTATGCTTTTATAGGACATGTGAGAATCTAAACGTCAACGGCAAGGTAGCAAATGGTTGTCTCCGTAAAAGATAAAAAAAAGAAAGAGTCTAACTATAGAATAAAAATATAGTATGAAGCTAAAATTAGAGAGACACACAAAAGATGTTTCTTCCGGATATATATCATCGGAAAAAGGAGATGTGTGGTACCAGTATACGTAATTAGTAAGTTTTAGATGAGAAATGCTCCGACTGAAGTTTTATCCATATGGATTGAGATGTCACACGTTGTAAACCAAACTATGTGATTTTTTTATAAAGCTACATTGAAATGGTTTGTTACAAATTGTGTATTGAATTAACAAATAAAGGCTTAATTACTAAATCAATTAGAAAAAAATGTAATCTTCTGGTTTAAAATCAAAGGTGTTCAAATAACTTTTCTGGAATAATCATAGTCACCCTATTTTGGAAAATCACATATATGCTAAAATGACGTATACAATGTATATATAATGTCAAACTTTATTACTTAAAGGAACAGCGAATTACTAGGCTTACCAATCGTAACTACTCGGCCATTCATTGTAGACGTAGCGAGAATGGCCGAGTAGTTATGATTGAGGTTTTACATGACATATCGAAGCTCTCTAAAGATTGTGTCGGTTACTCTATAATTTTCTTATGCTTACCTTTAAGATGTCTTTTAAGAATTTTAGTGTCCTATAATAAATAAATGAATAAAGATCATTAATATATTAATAAAATCACTAAATATATGATTTACCTCTTAACACCAATTATAATTTAAAACATAGAGATGGGTGATACAATTTTCGTTAAAGGTATGGAAGGCAATATTTAGCTACAAGCATTACACAAAATCCCCAAATACTGACAATTTTGTAAAATGACCGTTTCATTGCTCAACCTTTTAGAACAATAATTGTGTCTTTATTTCTTTGTTTCTGTTTTAGTAACTAAAGAGTATGCCAATCGAAATTATTACGCTTATTTTTATAAATTTTTTTGACGTTTGTTTAATATGATTTTTTTTTAATATTTCGTCAATTTTCTGAGTAAAGCACGAATATTGTCAGGTATAAATACTATACAACTGTATTTTTTGTTAAAAGGTTTTCAAAAATGAGAACCAAATTGAATCTACACTCTATAGCAAAAACAAGAAATTCCATATCCAATCATTAAGATTGTTAACACCCGAATTCCGATATTATCTATAAATTATATCAAGATTCTTCATTTTCAAATATTTATTCTTTTTTAAATTATAATAAGCATCGTTCATGCAACAATTACATCTTGTCAAAACTGCAAGCAATAAACGTATGTCTGTAAAAACAATTTACTTTACTTGTAAAATACTTTATACTTTACAACCATACAGTTAATGAACTAAAAACAAATCAGTTTACTGTAAAATGCTAAAGGACTTACATATAGCACATCATGAACGAATCTTTCTCCTTTCTTTTGTAGGACATGAGGGCAGACTGGAAACCAACGGGCATGTTCTCTCCAAGGATCTAAAGTAAGGACATCTTTTCTAAGACAACCATCACAATAGAAGCACACTCTATCTTCCCTTCTCTCTTCTAAAACAAGGAAATACTTAATCATTTTAGTATATTGTAAGAAGATGCAACCAAAAAGTTTGTTTGTATTGATTTGTTGTGAGCATTGATACTTTAAACCATTTCAGCGTAAAAATTGTGCTTATAAAAATATTTCCTCTCTCTATTGGAACTGTACACGTATACCTAACAACACAATTATTTTCATTTACCTGTGTTTAAAGTTATTGCAAATGGCTGATATTTTTGTTCGAGCATATTGTTTTTCTTAAATTGTTTAACATTTCATACCGATATAACATGTTACTTTTATTATTCTTCCCTTAGTTTATTTATTTTGTATTTACATTGTATCATATGTCAAATGTATTTGTTCAGTGTATGTTCACTCGTGTTAATATGTCCTTTGATTGAGTTAACCTTTTTCAGTTGATATTTTATAGTGTGTCTTTCTATGTTGTGATGTTACACTATTGTTTCAGAAAAAGGGTGAAGGTTTGGTACCATTAAAACGTTTAAACCCGCTGCATTTGTTTGCACCTGTCCTAAGTCAGGAATCTGATGTTCAGTTATTGTCGTTTGTTGATGTGGTTCATAAGTGTTTCTCGTTTCTCGTTTTTTATATAGATTAGACCGTTGGTTTTCCCGTTTGAATGGTTTTATACTAGTAATTTTTTGGGGCCCTTTATAGCTTACTGTTCGGTGTGAGCCAAGACTCCGTGTTGAAGACCGTACTTTGACCTATAATGGTTTAATTTTATAAATTTTGACTTGGATGGAGAGTTGTCTCATTGGCACTCATACCACATCTTCTTATATCTATTATACATTACAATTGAATTTCATGTTCAGTGCTAAGAGAGTTTAGGATTGTGTTTAATATCTAAACACATTTCTCAGTAAGCACATTTAATGTAAACGTGTCTTGAGGCTTGTATTGGGTATATTGGGATACGGGATATTTGCCATTTTAATTTTAGGAATATGGGATATTTGTCCTAAAAATAAATGGGATATGGGATATTGATGCATTTTTAGGGAAACTGAATTTTGAACATGAAAAAAAAATGTGTAATTTAAAAGTTAAGTACAGAAATATTTACATCTCACTTGATAAAATTGCCAAAAATAATTTACTAGAAAAGGTCATTTTAGTGCTTTGTTGATTTTCATTGAGTTTATTGTCGTTTGCTGTACCACAAAACCAAAATTGATTCAGTATTGTGTGTATAGGATTAGATATGAATGATGTCACATTACAAGAAGAGGTGGAGATGGATTTAGAGGAGGAATCTGCAACCAATGTTGCCCGTTTACCCACGAGAGGAAAGAGGAAGCGAAAACCTCGATCTGACACTGACTTCATGTTTTACTGATTTAATGATATTTACTGTTAAATAACTAGTCGGCGTCAAAGCAAAAAAATAAAATAGCCTTTCAAGACGTCATATTTATTTGGACTATTTTATCAAATAACATGCTTATCTCTACAGTAACTTTTATTTATCCACTGACGTTAAAAACGCTGAATTATATATTGGTTATTCCAGAGACATGTAGATAAAAATTTAAACTGATAATTACATTAGATGTATGTTTCATTATTATATGTTATTTTGATTGGCTAACAGCAATCTCGCAATATTCTTTATTTCAAAACAAAATGAATTTCAAGAATTGTAACATACATGATGACACACGTTTCCACAATAAAGTGCACAGGTAAATAAAAGAAAAAAATGATAGTAATCGTGTTTTCATGATCATAGCGAAAAAATGTAATTATAAGTATTGAATGCTTCTTTTAGTAATTTCATAGGGTTGTAAAAGCGTTGACCGTGCGTACATCTTTAGAATGAAGCGCTTCATACAAAATGTACTTCGGTCAACGTCAACGCTTTACGCCCCAATGAATTTACAAAAAGAAGCATTCAATTCTTTTAAAATGGTTAACTTTTCTCTGTGAAAAAGCCCACATCCTTACTACAACGCATACAACATGTATTTACGAATGTATACAAAAATGGGTTTGGGAATGAATTAATGATTTTTTGGGATATTTCAAAATAGTTTTAGGGATACGGGTTATTGTAAAAAATATTTATTGGGATATTAGGGGTAAACATTAAAGGGATATGGGATGTTAATTCCCCACTAAACAAGATTCTGTCTTGAATTTAAACACTTTTAAATGTGTTTTAAAATTAGTGTTTAGGAATAAAACACTATTTTTTTTAAATAAACACGATCATAACAACTGCTTTCAGATTAGAAAAAGAAAAAAATGGGGTCACCGGACTCGTTTTCTTGCTATATAATAAAACAGGTAAATTCACAACATATTCTATTATAAAAGTTACTTTATCTGAGTTATCTCCCCTTCTTTGGCAAAGTTGAAAAAAAATGAATCAAATAAAAATATTCTTTTTTTTGTAAAAATACAGCTGAAAATATGATGAAACACATAATTTTCAATATTAACATGAAAAGTCTTACACATGAATTACATACTACTCTCGAAATTTGCACATCTCATTAAAGATCTACACCGATTGTTATCTGCTATTTCAAAATCCAAGATGGAGGAAGACACCTCAGCTACCTTAACGTTAAAATATTATCAAGTGTTATTGCAAAATATCCACACCGATGTATTTCAACAAGTTCTAAATTCATATAAAATGTCATCAACACTCCTAATTAAATATTATTTGCCTTTATGACGTATACTGTGCCTTAATTACGTATACTTTGCATAATTACGTATAATTTGCATAATTACGTAAACTTTGCCTTAATCACGTATAACCATTGAAAAGGTTTACATGTTAATCAATTTGCAAATTGTACTTACCCATAGTAAAAAACCCTGCTTCTGCCTGAATAGCTCTGTTCATGTCATTTACATAATGTAAATCAAAACTCTGTCGACGATGAGCTTCATCCTCAAATTGAGAATGAATTGGACCATTGTTCTCCTCTATTCTTCTCTTGAGTTTGAGGATTAACCTTTTCCCAAATAGCCTTGGTAATCCATACTTATCTCTCGCTGTTTCCGGGCCGGGTAAAAAGATAGTGCTCCTACTGCAAGAAGAGCAAGGACATTCGTCGCTCGGAGCACCCATAATAGATGCTACAGACGGGTATATGTTTATGTCTGCCATGCAAGCTTCTGGCAAATGTTGTGTTTGGCGAGATGATAAAACTTTCAGGGCTTCTTTGTATTGATTTGATGGTTTCGGCTGTATTAATTGTCTTATCCTGCAACTTTCAGCATGTTTATTTGTCAAATTTATAACATCCTCGCGCTCCATATCTACCGCAGCATCACACTCGTCACATTTGATTATAAAATTATGGCCACTATAGCTAAACCCTTTGCCAGCTAACACAATTGATGATTGTTGACCCTTCCAGGTTGAATATGAAGCAAGTTTGCTAATATTCGCAAAATAATTTGATATACTCATGGCTTCAATAATTCTTACTTTAATCTTTGTTATTTTGCAGATAGCAAGTTTGGACACAGTGACATGTATTTTCTTCCGCAACAATACTTTTTTTCTTGATTTTCGATTGGTTTCAAAGAAATATTTTCAATTCACTCTCTCATCTGGTCATCGATAGTACCTTTGTCGTTACAAGCATGGGATGATGTTTTGAGGAACAGATATCTGTGCTTTCCAGTTGCGTTTACTTTTTTCTGTTGCTCTTTGTAGACCAAGATGCGGTTTAATAATTTGGAGGTCCAGTAATTTTCATGGTCTAAAGTAGCAACTCCCATTTCTCTTGCAAAAGGTACGATCAGATTCACCTGCAAATACGATAGAATTAAAGTTTGTCTTCGACATAAAAATGTATCTCCCAAAATGGTTTAGCTAGAAAGGAAAATAACTGTGATAAAGTTATGCTCAATGTGTATCCACAGAAAACTTTGAATCCACCACTGCATATATATATATTCAAAGAAACCGATTTTGTCGAGTTTTTTTTTCCGTCTGTCACACTTAAAAATGTAGAAAAAGCAAAGTCTACATATGTTTAATAAAATGCTCCGCAGGGCGCAGCTTGATACGACCGCAGAGATCGAACCCTGAACAGTTGGGGCAAGTATGGACACAACATTCAAGCTTGATACAGCTCTGAATTTGGATTGTGATTAAATATTTGACACAGCATAGGTTACTGACACAGAATGAATGTGGTCTAAGAACTTAAAAATTTTAAATTGGACATTCACCTATTATGGTCCAATATCTAAAATCTAAATACATGGTTAGATTCAGCATATCAAAGAACCCCAAGAATTCAATTTTTGATGAAATCAAACAAAGTTTAATTTAGGACCCTTTTGATCTCAATGTGGACAAAGTTGATAACGGGGCCCAAAAATCAAAAATCTAAATACATGGTTAGATTCAGCATAACAAAGAACCCCATATATTCAATTTTTGTTGAAATCAAACAAAGTTTAATTTTGGACCCTTTGGACCTTAATGTAGACCAATTTGAAAACGGAACCAAAAATTAAGAATCTAAATACACGGTTAGATTCGGCATATCAAAGAACCCCAATAATTCAATTTTTGATGAAATCAAACAAAGTTCAATTTTGGACCCTTTGGACCTCAATGTGGACCAATTTAAAAACGGGGCCCAAAATCCAAAAACTTAATACACGGTTAGATTCAGCATATTAAAGAACCCCAAGAATTCAAAAATAAAACCCCATTGAAATAGGTCAAGAAATAAGCAATTTATACGAAGTATCTTCTTTTGCACAATACTGTGCAATTGAATATTTCTTGCTATTGTGCAATACTGTACAATTGACAATTTCTTGCTATTGCGCAATATTGTGCTATTGGATATTTCTTGCTATTGCGCAATACTGTGCAATTGAAGATTTCTTGCTATTGCGCAATACTGTGCAATTGAAGATTTCTTGCTATTGTGCAATACTGTGCAAATGAAAATTTCTTGCTATTGCACAATACTTATTATATAATAATTTACACATCCTGTTTGGTGTGTATCTCCTACCATATCATTATTATTTGCTTTTAAATATAAATCAGAAATAACCAACTTAAAATGGAAAATTTTAAAAGAAGAAAAAAAGGAAAAAAGAAAAAAAAAGGAAAAAAAAATCCCCCCCCCCAAATTTTTTGAAACCCCTTATGATTCATCACCCCCAAACTCAATCCCAGCCTTCCCTTTGTGGTATGGTAGCTTGCAGTACAATTTCAGAGAGATCCATACACTTGAACACAAGTTATTGTCCTGAAACTAGAAAAAATGCTTGTTTTTTTTCCCCTTTTTGGCCCCTAATTCCTAAAATTTTGAGGCAATTACCCCCAAAATCAATCCCAACCTTCCTTTTGTGGTATGGTACCTTGCAGTACAATTTCAGAGAGATCCATACACTTGAACACAAGTAATTGTCTGGAAACTAGAAACATGCTATTTTTGGCCCCTTTTTGGCCCCTTATTCCTAAACGTTTTGGGCAATTACCCCCAAACTCAATTCCAGCTTTCCCTTTGTGATATGGAACCTTGTAGTTCAATTTTAGAAAGATCCATACACTTACACACAAGTTATTATCATGAAAAATGCTTGTTTTTTGCCCCTTTTTTGGCCCCCAATTCCTTAAATTTTGAGGCAATTACCCCCAAAATCAATCCCAGCATTCCCTTTGTGATATGGAACCTTGTGGTACAATGTCAGAGAGATCCATACACTAACACACAAGTTATGTCTGGAAGTTACAAAAATGCTTATTTTTGGCCCCTTTTTGGCCCCTAATTCCTTAACTTTTGGTACCAGAACCCCTAAAATCAATCCCAACCTTCCTTTTGTGGTATTGAACCTTATGGTAAAATTTCACGGAGATCCATTCACTTAAACTAAAGTTAGAGTGCGAAAACCAATGTGTCTTCGGACGACGCCGGACGACGACGACGACGACGACGCCAACGTCATACCAATATACGACCAAAAAATTTTTAATTTTTGCGGTCGTATAAAAATGGGACAAAAATCTATGTGATAAAAAATAAAATGAAAAACGTTGAATTGAATGTGGCATGAATTGAAATATTTGCCAAGTAACGTATAACCAAGTGTAAATTATATATGTAAACTATATATATACATATAGTTTTTGTTGACAAACTTACAAAATTGTATTTATGTATCTGTATTGTAGTTAAACTGAACAGCAATCGAATGAAATATAAATAAGGAAGCGCACAACTTAATTTGTTGTATTCATCATTTCAACCAAGGGATGTATTTATTATAAGTTCTAGGGTAAGCATGGAAATTTAGTTGGGCATTACAGATTAATATACTAAGAATTTCCCCAACGTATTCGACAGTTTCATGTCTTAACTGTTTTTATTAAGGGTCATCAGTCTTTTGTATTAATAAATAGATTCTATTGAGTCACTACGAGCAAAGCTAAAAAAAAAAAATACCCGTGTCTTTTGAAAAGTCAATGATTTGCTAAGGGAAACCCCACAACTAATTCGGATCCAAAACCAAAATAGGAGGTGCACAATGGCATTGTATGGTAAAGTTTCTGAGAAAGATTTACTATATTGTATTGGGTTTTAGAAGGAGTTGCGGATTCAAACTGGGACCCCCAACTATAAAGCAATAGCAAAGTATATAATGCTTTGGTAAAGGAAGATTCTATAAATAATAATAAGAGCTTGAGGGGGTTACGAATACAAACTAGGTATCCCCCCCCCAAAAAAAAAAATAAATAGCAATAGCAAAAATCACGATTTGGTTATGGAAACCCCCTAAACGCTTCAGACAAAATTGATGGTACACAAAAGCATTGTACGAGTAAGACGGTGCGAAAATTTCAATAAATTGTGATATGGAGTTAAGGATGAGTGCTCAAATGTGTACTATAGCGTGCTGATATGACGAAATCCATGTACGGGTGCCAGTTCGGCTGTGCGGGATGTATTAATACGCAGTCACGTACGGTCGGGTGGAGAGGGTACCTTCGATGCCAAATTCCATGTCACGTAAGACCTCTTTGAGGGGTCCGCAGGTTGTCGGTAGAAGATTCTGCCTCTATCAAAAATACCTTTTCCAAAGGCAATTCACATTTGTTATCTCGAGCAAAACTTTCCTATATCTTTTAAGTAAACCAAAAAAAAAAAATCATTCGCATGAAGAAATTATATATAGGAGTGCATGAGTACATCATGTGAGTAGGATTCTATGAAAGTTTCATCGCATTTTGTCAAGCGGTTTCCGATCAGTTCGGATACAAAAATGGGACAGAAGGACGATCTAACAGACTAATGGACTCCCCAATCTCTATATACCGCCAGCTTTAAAGCGGGGTATTAAAACGCGCATCTTGTACTATTATATATTTTAATACATGTACATTAATTTTTACCTGTTGAAAATATAGTGTACTATTAAAAGCTAACGTATTGATTATTTGGTCATGTGTAGTATTTTTTCTTGTCATATTCATTGTAGAGTTCCCAAATATAAATCACATGCCCTTATATCGTGTCAAGAATTACTAAGAATTTAAGACATTTCTATTTTTAAACAATTTCTATAAATTCATTTATAGCAACGTTATTAATTAAGATTCAAACTCCCTGTTGATGTTTTAAACTCAATTGAAATATCAACATATTCATTATCTCATAGCTAAGTCAATAACGATATATATGTAGAGAGAAGCACTACATTGCTCGTAGCATACAAAAGTGCCAGTTTGACTGTGTGGGATGTATAGATACACAGTTACGTACTGTCGGATTGGAAAAGTAAATGCGACGCCTAATATCACGACTTTTTCACGTTAAACAGAGACGGATTCATGATATATGAAAAGGATTCTGTATATATAAAACTATAATTTTTGGACGAGTTTATACTAAATAATGATCGATATATTTTTCAATCATCTGAGTTACCTATGTGGCAGAACCTACCTATCTTATTTACTGTAAAAGTGTTATCAGTCTTCAAAAGGGTTGACATTTGTCACTGGACGTCAAGAAAACGAAAATCAACCAATCATACAAGGCAGGGTAACCATTTTAATACCAATAAGTAGCACTAAGAGTTGTGATATTAATCTCAGGAGCTCGAGGGGGATCCCCCTTTTTCTTTATATTATCTTTCTACGTTTTAATATTCTTTTAGTAAATATTCCTTAATATTTTAACTTATTTCCCCTTATCTAATGTGTCTTACTTTATCCATACGATTTTACTATAACAGTAATTCATATGTGACGACCTTCTATTCTTATTTTCAACTAACAGTTTCAATGAATCTAAAAGTAGTTTAAGTAGAGGATACGTGTGGTTGCTCATTACACAGTGACACATTTGTAATTCAAACCACATTGCCGGAGTATTTAACCCTATAATAACGATAGCCATAAAAACAACAAATAATCAAATAAACTTTTATTGGTTTTTCTCATTGTTGAAGGCCGTATAAGGTTGTATATAATTGCTTGCATCAACTTTATTTGAACATTGATGGATAGTTGTCTCATTGGCAATCATACCTCATCTCCTTATTTTTATATTTTAATTAAGGTCTCATTTACCTTTGAAAAAAACAATGAATGAATGACGAGAAAAGATAAGATAGAAAGATGATTACTAAAACGATTAGCTATTGTTTAAAAGTTTGCTCCTTTCCCCCAAGGATATCTAATCTATCTAAATTGTACATAGTAGACAGAAAATATCAAATCCAATGTGTTAATTTAAAAGTAAGAGAATCACATTGGACAGTCAGTGAATGATGCAAAGCACATCAAAAAGACAAGTACACGGCAATCGCCCATGCAGAGTTATCGGTCCTTGCTCTCTCTCAATTGATCCTGCATGGGAGATTGAAGTACAAGGAACAACAACATTCGTAGTAGTAGTACATTATAAAAAAATAATCATAAAGGGTGCTGCGGAACCCTGCGTCTCTCATGCTGCTGTCAGTGTAAAAGAGTAATGTTGACCTAAAGAGTGAGTACATTTATCAGTAAAATACAGAATTTGAAACAAATAAAAATCAAGAGGGGGGGGGGGGGGGGGGGGGGGGGGGCTGGGGGGGTGTCCGGGGGTTGGAACCACCCTTTTTTTTGACGATCAATGTATTTGAATGGGGACATATACTTGGAACCCCCCCCCCCCTTTTCAAAATGGCTGGATCCGCCCCTGAAGTTCACTACACAGAAGACTGGGCAACAAGTACCAAAAATAAAAGTAAAATCACAAAAATACTGAACTCCGAATAAAATTCAAAAAGGAAAGTCCCTAATCACACCAAAACAAATCTTAGGGGTGATCTCGTATGATCTCAGTTATGGAAGAGTAAATTTTATTATTTTGCTAATGGTTTGTACAAATTCGGTGTTAAGTCTCATTCGGGGATGTCAGATTCTAGGATGTTCATGGATCAACCAGTCAACCCCTGGGGTATTCCTAATTTGGCATTCTATTAAAATCTATGTTCATGTATAGTAGCATTCAAAAATCAAGTGTCATCTAAAAATAAATGTTCGGTTATAAAAAGTTGGTTGCCCCTCGTATCCGCTCCTGTGGTCCAAAATAAATGATAAAATGAACAAACAAATGTTTGAAAAACGAGATTATCTTGTTTATGTATGTATCAATATCAAACAATATTAAATATTTAAGGTTCATCATAAAAAATGGACAAAAATGGCTTTATTTACACCTCAAAAACTACTATGAGTACAGGCTAACCTGTGCAGTTGAAAATGTTTTAATGCCTGGCACTAGATACATAAAAGTTAAATGCATTTAGTGTTTCAGATAGATTAAATCTTTTTTGGATTTTGATGGGCATTTTTTTCTGTTCCTGCAGAAGATGTAAAAATAAACTAAGTTGGGTTAAATCTTTGAGATGCTCCCTCTCAGGTAACAACTGTATTGTATTGTATTGATTGTCCTTGATTGACATGAACAATAGAAGGACAATAGGTGAGTTAGAGGGTGTAACTGAGTGGACAGTATCAATTGTAATTCAGGTTACACCAACAGCAGGAAGGAAAAACAAAGCCTATCAAAATAAAAAATAAAATTTAATCTTACTGAAACACAAAATGCACTTAAATTTATATATCTAGTGGATGCCAGGCCTTAAAACTTTTCCAACTGCACAGGTTAGTCGGTACTCAGAGTTGTTTTTGAGGTGTAAATACAGCCATGTTTGTCCATTTGTTATGATGAACCTTAAATGTACATAAAATAAAATGCTTCGCTGGGGCGCAGCTTGATACGACCGCAGAGGTCGAACCCTGAACAGTTGGGGCAAGTATGGACACAACATTCAAGCTTGATACAGCTCTGAATTTGGATTGTTATTAAATATTTGACACAGCATAGGTTTCTGACACAGAAAGAATGTGGTCTAAGAACTTGAATTTTTTTAATTTACCTATTATGGTCCAATGTCCAAAATCAAAATACATGGTTAGATTCAGCATATCAAAGAACCCCATATATTCAATTTTTGTTAAAATCAAACAAAGTTTAATTTTGGACCCCAACTTGGACAAACTTGAAAACTGGGCCCATAATCAAAAATCTAAACACATGTTTAGATTCAGCATATCAAATAACCCCAATAATTCAATTTTTGCTAAAATCAAACTAAGTTTAATTTTGGACCCTTTGGACCTTAATGTAGACCAATTTAAAAAAACGGGACTTAAAATTAAAAATCTAAATACACGGTTAGATTTGGAATATCAAAGAACCCCAATATCAATTTTTGATGAAATCAAACAAAGTTTAATTTTTGGACCCTTTTGACCTCAATATGAACCAATTTGATAGCGGGGCCCACAAATAAAAAATCTAAATTCATGGTTAGATTCAACATATCAAAGAACCTCATATATTCAATTTTTGTTGAAATCAAACAAAGTTTAATTTTGGACCCCAACTTGGACCAACTTGAAAACTGGGCCCATAATCAAAAATCTAAACACATGTTTAGATTCAGCATATCAAAGAACCCCAAGAATTCAATTTTTGTTAAAATCAAACTAAGTTTAATTTTGGACCCTTTGGACCTCAATGAAGACCAATTTAAAAAACGGGACCCAAATTAATAATCTAAAAACACGGTTAGATTTGGCATATCAAAGAACCCCAATAATTCAATTTTTGATGAAATCAAACAAAGTTTAATTTTGGACCCTTTTGACCTCAATATGAACCAATTTGATAGCGGGGCCTACAAATAAAAAATCTAAATACATGGTTAGATTCAGCATATCAAAGAACCTCATATATTCTATTTTTGTTGAAATCAAACAAAGTTTAATTTTGGACCCCAATTTGGACCACATTGAAAACTGGGTCCATAATCAAAATTCTAAATACATGTTTAGATTCAGCATATCAAAGAACCCCATATATTCAATTTTTGTTGAAATCAAACAAAGTTTAAATACTGGACCCTATCTTGGACCAACTTGAAAACTGGGCCCATAATCAAAAATCTAAACACATGTTTAGATTCAGCATATCAAAGAACCCCAAGAATTCAATTTTTGTTAAAATCAAACTAAGTTTAATTTTGGACCCTTTGGACCTTAATGTAGACCAATTAAAAAACAGGACCCAAAATAAAAAATCTAAATACACGGTTAGATTTGGAATATCAAAGAACCCCAATAATTCAATTTTAGATGAAATCAAACAAAGTTTAATTTTGGACCCTTTTGACCTCAATATGAACCAATTTGATAACGGGGTATACAAATAAAAAATCTAAATACATGGTTAGATTCAGCATATCAAGGAACCCCATATATTCAATTTTTGTTGAAATCAAACAAAGTTTAATTTTGGACCCCAATTTGGACCAACTTGAAAACTGGGCCAAAAATCAAAAATCTAAATACATGTTTAGATTCAGCATATCAAAGAACCTCATATATTCAATTTTTGCTAAAATCAAACAAAGTTTAATTTTGGACCCTTTGGACCTTAATGTAGACCAATTTGAAAACTGGACCTAGAATTAAAAATCTAAATACACTGTTGGATTCGGCATAACAAATATATAAATGTGATCAAAGATTTTACAAATATAATGCGCCATACTGTGCAATTAAAGATTTCTTCTTTAAATTTTTCAATATTTGAAATTTGAAAAAAAAATAATATTTGAAGAATAATTTTTTTAATTTCTGAAATCTGAAATGAGAAAAATTGACCCCCCACAATTTCTTTTTATCCCCCCCCCTCTTTTTTCCCCCAAAAAATTCTTTCCCTCAAGATATGGTCATAATCTCAATTCAAATTTCCAATGGAGTTGGCAACCATAATTACCCATTTAAATTTACCATAGTGCTAACTTAATCTATTTTATAATAGAATTAAAAATATAGTGTCAAATCTTTCATATGGATTTTTTTGTAAAAAAAAAAGATGCAACATTTGCAGATATTTTTACTGGTCTTCCTTTATAAATATGCATTTCTTTAAACATAATTTAAAAGCAGTGTAAGGGAAGTAACCAAAACGTTGTATTTGGATTACCTCCCTTACACTGTTTTAAATTATCTTTATTGTTCATTAACCATTACTTTATACATAATTTAAAAGCAGTGTAAGGGAGATAATTTCAATGATGTATTTGATTTATCTCCCTTACACTGCTTTAAATTATGTTTTGTACTAAAGTATTTGTCCATTAACCAGGACAACCTTGTTTTTCCCCCTTTTTTGCCCCTAATTCCTAAACGGTTTGAGCCATAACCCCCCAAAGCCAATCATAACCATCCCTTTGTGGTATGGAAACTTGTAGTATAATTTCAGAGAGATCCATACATCGTTCCACAGTTATTGTCTGGAAACTAGAAAATGCTTATTTTTGGCCCCTAATTCCTTAACTGTTGGTACCATAACCCCCAAAATCAATCCCAACCTTCCTTTTGTGGTATTTAACCTTATGGTCAAATTTCAAAAAGATCCATTTACTTAAACTAAAGTTAGAGTGCGAAAACCAATGTGTCTTCGGACGACGACGCCGGACGACGACGACGACGACGACGACGACGACGACGACGACGCCGGACGACGACGACGACGACGACGCCAACGTCATACCAATATACGACCACAAAATTTTTTTGCGGTCGTATAAAAAATATCGCTAATCTAGGTGGCATGCGTAGACGGAATTAAATTAAAAAGATTGTGACACATACATACATACATATGCATAAATTACGAGGCTTAACGAAAACCACATATAACCTTTTTTTTTTTTTGGAATGAGACACTTCTTCAACTGTTAGATTTACCAAGGAGATTTTTAGAACGGACCACTCTACTGATAGTAGAATCCTTATACTATTAATAAAACGATGGAATCAAGATATAGAATCCAAGGGATGCGACACTTCCTTGCAAATTCCACAACCTACGGAATATATCACTTCCTTAATTAAAGGTAATTCATACCAATACCCTGGACATAATGTATTTGATAGTAATAATTATAAACACATACAAATAAACATTAAACACACACATATACTATATATTATATATTTACATGTGATAAATTGAATGCTTAAAGCATCTACGAAGTTCATACTGTCCGGCCCGAGGTCCGGTTTCATTACAAATTTTGTACGTCAAACTATGTACTCAAACAAATTCTAACTGATTCAATTTACTTAGCACTTATAAATTTATGAGAAATGTAAAAGGGACGTAACTAGAAAAAGCAGACAAAATTTGCGCTGCGTAATTACTTGTTTTGAATAAAAACGAACCTACTATTCACCTATAAGATTAGGAAAACAAAATTATTAGTAAATATTAGTATATTAATTAGTTTATCTAGATATAAAAATATAAATAAGTGTCGCAAAAGAAACTTAAATTTAAGAGTTTAATGGAAACATTTTAATTAGTCCTCTTCCGGGTTAGTTATGTTATACTCGAATAACAATTAAAATGATAAAACCTACAATATAACTTGCAGGGGCGGATCCAGCCATTTTAAAAGGGGGTTCCCAACCCAGGATAAAAGGGGGGGGGGGTTCCAACCATATGTCCCCATTCAAATGCATTGATCGTCCAAAAAAGGGGGGATTCCCCCCTCCCTGGATCCGCCACTGACTGGTCAGAATGACGAGTCAGAAAGGTAGTCAAAATGAACAGATGCCTTTACAGTACTGTAGAGCTGTTACAACAACAGCACATATATTTCGAAATGAAACGAAGCATACAAGCAAGGCATAATATATACACTTATATTACAGCTGAGTATTACTGCCATGCAATAAAGTAAACAACAACAACAAAATAAAACTAAAAATGTTCACAGACTTAATACTAGAGTGTGAAATTATTCGTAATGTCTGATTATGTCCCCAAAGGAATGTTCATTGTTGTTGTTGTTCTTATACAGATATAGGTCAATAGACCGGATAGTCACATTGGATAATAAATTTATACAAAAAGTGTTAGTAATTATTAACTTGTACATGTAAAAGGCGTTAAAATTGATAATTGAAAGTCTTACTTTGACTTTAGGATTGAAAATATAACGGTCCGTTTGATCAAAGATCATACAAGTCAGTAGTTAAACCCGAAGATAAATGGATGTTTATATACTGTTTTATTTATATCAATGATGACGTAACACTATGTGTCGATTTTTCTTAGATACCAATAAAAACTTCCAAAGAGATCCGAAAGAACAGAATGCTCTCGAAGTTTTTGTTTATAAATAGAGTTGGAAATTACCTAATTTATTAAATTAGCTAGGATGAAATTTGAAAAAAAGGCAGGACAGGAGTTTTGAGTAAAAAAAAAGGCAGGATGAGACACTTTGCAAAAAAAAAACAAAACAGGATGACAATTTATGTAAACAAAAGTCAGGATAAACTAAAAAAAAAAAAAAGGCAGGACCGAATAGAGTGAAAAATAAAAAGGCAGGGCAAAAATTACAACTAAAAAAAAATGCAGGACAAAATTTTTCATCCTAGGCCCCCCCCCCCCCCCCTAAAAAAAATCAAATGGCAGCTCCCTAAGAGCGTACAAAAACAAAATGACAATAGTATGCGAGGGAATTACTTGAAGTTGGGTTTATTAGAAAGAGAAAAAAATACTGAACATTATGAATTGGTTGGCTGGTGCTTATTTTCATAACATTTGCAAACCAATTTTAGAGGTATTTTTCGATACAACTCATTCAACACACAGAAGGTAAACATATATAGAAGTTTTGTATTAACAAGCACCTAATTGGCAACACAACCAAGCTTACATTTTTTTCGAGACCCTTTTCAAATAGAAGACACATTTGTAAAGCTTATGTAAGATATAACTAAATGTTTCCAAGGGAAATCCTCTACAAACGTAAGGACTTCTGAGTTTCTATTTTTGAATCCACGACACACTAATAGCAAACCCTCCGAAAAATTTTTGAATGTGCACGATGTAGACAACTTATGGCAAATATTTCATGTATATTTAAGACGATGAAAGTTTTTGGGGTTAGATTTTTTTTTAAGGAATTTTATTATCTCCGCGATTTAGAATTTATCTTCAGTGATATTGGAATTATGCTCCCCCTTTCGACGATATCATATAGCTGAAACTTTTAAAACATGTAAAATATTTGGGTAGTTTGGTCTCATTCTTATTAGATTGATACATTTTCTCCAACAAAAATCCAGATGTAATGGCAGTGTTTTAAAGTTGCAAACCGTAGTGTCAATGGCCGAGTCAACGAGTTCGAATAGGTCTTTAATGTTATAAATGGTTGTGTGCACAAGTCAACCCACAGCCATCATATAACATCGTATAAATAAAACATGTCGCAACATAA